AGGGGCTCAATGTACATTTTTAAAGGAATTTTAAAACTACTTCATGGTAACTAATATGAATACAAGAACAAATTCCACTTAAAACAACTTTCATCCACGTGAGGATTTTCTGTGAGTTCACTTTCTGTTGGAAATGAAGGATTTTTAAAAAAATTTCCCCCCTTCCCTTTTTCAGTTTTTCTCATACCACTCGCTGTCAGGCACCCTAATGAGCAGGCAAGCACCCAGCTAACCAGACTTCTGCCAATTTTGCTTTGTAAAAAGACCGCTAATAGGTATAGAAGACTGACTGGGGGTATTTGGTACTCTCCTTTACATCATATAATAATTTTCTGTTTTGCAGGAAAAAATGTCAGTGAAGCCAGGCTGCCTTGTGCACGCACATTAATAACATGTAGTCTATGCAACCACTGCCATGATGGGTTCATTGCCTACTTTTAAGAGAAGAATGTGTCCTATTTCAGGTGGTGTGCCCAGGATTTTCCCAATGAAGTAACTGAAGTGACTACAGAGGACTTATTTCTGTTGATTGGTAAAGTTAGCAACCTTGCTCGTGTGCTCATAATGGGGAAAAATCCCATTATAAACAGATACCATCAAGATTGGTAACTTCACCAACCAGCAAAATTTCACCCCCATATGAATTGGTGGAAAATGTTGTAGCCCAAATTAACTCACCATCAACCAGAGGAGGAAATCAGATTTTAAAATGGTTCCCTTTAAAGCAGCATCAAATCACTATCAAAATAAGCCTAAGGAAACACTTTATTTTCAGTACCACGTGGATGTTGCAGTGAGTAAATTCAGTCAAAAGATAACAGTTTTACTGCAGGAATCTTGCTCTCCAGGGTCTGTGAAAAGTTCCTGTTTAGAAGTGAGACCAACTGGTTCAAGGAACTCAGGGAAAGCTTTTGAGAAGACTAGAACAATTTGTGAAGGTATGTTATGTGGTACTGATTTGTCAAATTGAATGAAGTCAAATGTAATCCGTCAAAGTGGAATATTGTTTTATGTCATGAAAAGTGGAGCAGAAATTAAGGCATTATAATTGGTATCCACAGTATTTTTTGTGTTTGTGAAATGAGAAATTAAGCTTGGGATCACTAGGAAATAACACCCTCCTGAAAGGTCTGCATGTGTGTGGGTCAGGTGGAGGCAGGGTCTATTGTCAAATTGTCTGTTAGCACTCACTGTCAAGACTCACATAAATAATGGTCATTTAGACAAGGTATCAGAGACAACTTTCCCTTGTACCTCACCCTGATTGTTAATGTTTTATACTTCTACAGGGAGAAATAGCAAATCACAATATCTTAGAAACAAAAGGGTGACACTTTGGACATTTGATAATTGCACTTCGTGATAATTGTCACGAAGGCATCAAAAAGTCACTTTCATCCCATAATAATAGAGCCATGCCAAGATTGCAAAAAGTCATTATACATTTGCCTGGAAATAGCCTTTGCACTAAGCAATTGCAATCTACAGTGAATTCTGTGAAGCGCTTTGAGACATTTGCTGATGTGATAGGGTACTAGATCAAATAGAAAATATGGACCAATGGATCATTTATCCAATTTAGTGCACTGCCATTGGAGCAATCTGAGTGTTCTGCTATGGGCCAGTGTATTCATATTCTTAATACTAATAATAATACTTGTAGTCTCCATGGATTTTGATTCATTGATCTACCATGTTTTGCATTATTAGAGGACTTGTCATGGTGTTGCAGTGTAAAATGCTAAGCAAGTGCACTTGCCCAGCTGAACCCTATAGTTCTGAAAAGTTATGAACTTCTGTCAGGTCTGACCCAAGTCTCGAAAGCGGTGTTTTAATTTTCATCGTTACTTTCAGCTGGGAATTCTGAATACATTTATTATGAGTACAAGAGCTTTGGTGGAGAATTTATTTTCACCTTTAGGGTGACTAGTCATTAAGAGTTACATAACAAAAAGGCTTATAAAAGACACATGAATCTATACAGAATTATTTTCAGTATCAGTGTGTATGCAATTAATTATTTTTTGTTGTGACAGCGGCTTGTCATCAACTTCATCTTCACGCAAGCAAACTGACATTTTTTCTTTTAAGTGTCGAATACTGCAATGCATGCTTGCTGGAGTCTACCTCTTGGCAATCATTAAAAATAACAATCCCTTTATTTATTTATAATGACAGACACCGCTGACTCATGTACGCCTGTTGACTTGGATGATGAAAATAAATAGCAAAGCTAAATGGTGTCCATAGGGCCTGTACAAATTGACGAAGAAAGTTATCTGGCCGAATATTTTTCAGTTTCAAGAAGCTCATGACTTTTTATTTCAGCTTTTCTATAGAAAGATAAATTCTATGAATGTATTACTATTGCATCACATCTTTCATTCAAGCTTCCGTCATTTAACTCAAGAAGGTTTGAAAATGTGCAAGGGTAAATTCTGCACTATTTCTTCATGGAATTTTTAAATTAAAAAATCAATTTCTTAAATAGTAACTGGAAGTTCTTGGACCTAGATCATGCCTGTCATTTCAGATTTCACAAAAGTGGTTTGAATTCAGCAACATTCCCATGAGTGGGGTTTCACAGATTTCTAAATTAAGAAATACTGTAAAATCGACCCTGCCATGTTTTCCTATTATAACGTTTAGCCACAGACAGAAGTGTTAGATTGAAATATTGGTGTACAAATTCTAGTATAATTTTAATTGAAAAAATACAATTGCATATATCATAAGCAATCACAGTGTTTTCAAATAAATGGCTCAGGTGACATAAATGGCTAATAGTGACGTCTGTGCAGTTTATTTGTGTGTTTTTTTGTGTGTGGATATCCTGGGCTCTGTATTGCTGTGCATTGGTCATTGCATGGAAACATATAAAGGTCTAAATTGCAGTTGGTCTGGCTTCCAGCTTTTGTTTAAATCCAGGGAGGAAAACAAGGTAACTCCACGGTTATTTCTCTCTCCTCTAGCCCCCACAACCCTCCACCCACAGCATTGTGTACGATACGTTTTCTTTTCAGAACCTCTCCAATTCCCATCTGGATCATTGTGCAATCAGATATGAGTTCTTATTTTCTTTAATAATATGAAGTGTGTTGATGGAACTTGTGTCGTGCTTTGCTTCTGTCTTCAAGGAACTTCATGTCCTTCGGAAATAATGTATATTGCAAGTAATGCAGTAAATGCACAATATTGACTATGTGGCTGACCGAAGAGTATTAGACAATTAACAAGGCTTGTTTTTATGCAGCGGGATACAGGATTTTGATAATTTTGTATCTTTTTTCAAAAAGGCCTTATGCTGTATCCTTTCGCGAACTTAGTTGAGTTTAAAAACGCTTACTGTTCTAGTGATATTGGCTTTGAGGCAAGATGCTGTAGATTGTAATTTGAAGAGAGGATGTAAATGATTTTAACTCCACGTTTAGAACACATTTAGTTGGCACAAATATCGTGTTACAATTTGGTATAATTTTACTGCTACAAAAATGACATTGAGATAAAATGGGCCAAAGAGCCTTTTTCAAATTTCTCTGTGCAAATGGACAAAGTTGACTATTCCTCTATTTCTACTGTTTTCTTTTATATCACTATCACACGTGAGATAAAAACATTTTTATGCACTTTAACACTTGTTCTTAACCATGAAAATACTTCTGCTGTCAAAATATCTTGCTCATAAATATTAGAAAGACAGATGAACAATCATTTATGAATTTTCACATTATTAAAAATGAATTTGCAATGACCTTAATGACTTTTTAAATATCAAAGTATTCCTCTGTTTAGCGTAGAATATATGATTGTGTTAATTAGTACCTTTTGTGTACTAATATGTTCTTAATTCTTCTTGTCATCTTGTTAGTGACTGAAATGAGAATTAGTTCTAGGTTTTGTGCTCAACATACTGCATATAACCTGGATTTCAGGATTCCCTTCAGAAATCAGAGTTATATATTATAGGAGGACAGACTTTACCTAATACTTAGTATAGCATATTAATATCAAATTTAACTTCTCCTTAGACAAAATAGTTATTGCAATTACTCAAAAACTCCCTCCCTTTCCTCCTTCAAGGCATGCCTTAACACTTTCTTCAACTGTGCCTTCGGCCACCATCTCTGTCCTTCACACTCCCTGATCCCAACCCCCACCCCCTTGCTCGGGTCCCAATCTCTGACTGTTCAGTGCCTTGCGACATCCTCCCGACGTGAAAGGCGCTTTAGAAATGTAATTTTGCATTGTATTGAACATATCTTGCAATAACTTTGTAATTTTTTTTAGTGATAATTATTCCAACTATATAATAAATTTATGTTTATCAAGAGAAGCAATCAAACCTCAGTGTAGATGTTCTGTTCACTTTGATCCGCCTAATTTCTCAGAGTCAGTGCCAGATCTGAACTGGTGCAAACTTTTCCTAAAAAATAATTTTCACGTGAAAACTTGGAGTGAATCCAATTTTTCACATCAGAACAAACAAATCCCACTTTATTTTGAAAAGAACATTCCCAACCTTGGCTGAGCTCAAATATCTTTAATCAGTTTCAGATCAAACAGCTTAGATGTTTGAGCTGGTTTTCCACTTATAGTATATTGTGGGAAGTGGTACTGAAAAATCACTTGGTGAAAAAGCATTAAAGTTGCTGTAGTTTGCTAATCCTCCAGCCAGTGTTATCGTTAAAATAGTAAAAATTGTGGGTTAGAATGTTCCTTTTTTTTGTTCAGTCATTTATATTGGGAAGACTAATACAATGTGCCAATAATTTTAAATGTGTAGAAAACCGCGAGCTAACAATACGCTGCCTCCAGCTCACAGTAAAGGGCATTGGTTTCTAGATGCTAATTCTGTATTTTGCTACTCCTATTTCCTGCAGCTCCATATTAGAAAAAATAATCTTTAATGGGATATTTGCGTTACTGCTGGAAAACATAAAAACTATCCAATTACATGCTTCAGGCTAACCAAAACCAATTACTTCTTCCACTCATTTCAGATCATGTCAATGGAGTGTGCACAAGCCCAACCTCCCAATCCTGTAGCATGGGGAAGCGACTTTCCATTGCTGATGCTTCAAAGCTGAACCGCCGTGGACCTGGCCGACCACCTTTCCGAAAAGCACAGTCAGCTGCCTGCATGGAAATCTCACTGCCTGTCACCCACACAGAAGGTGTGTGTGAGTGTATGTATGTCTATGCATGTGTCTTAATGTTTTCTCAGAATAATACAATGACCTCAATAGCAGGTACATTCATTTCATGAGAAATTAAGTGTCTTCCAGCACTAGCAAAGGTATTGGTTTAGTCCATGTCATAACAGCATAGAAACTCCTGCCACAAAGCACTGCACATTCCAGAGTTTGACTTTGTCTGTGTTCCTGTGCATTAATGTAGAATTTTCTAAGTTAACATGATTCAAATGTACTAGCCCAATACTAACAAATCAAAGCAATGCTAGGCTGAATAGCCTACTCCTGTTTCTATGTTTATGTATCTATGTAAAATGAGTTTAGATGTTTGCTGTTGGTTACTCAAATTGTTTGAAGTAATGCAGCTTTGTCATTTTAGAGAACTCAACCTTACATAGAATGAATTCCAGTACTTCACTTACCATTATGTGCCTCTGCCATGCCTCTTTTAACTCTTTTGCTTTATCAAGAAATTCATCTTGTAATTTTACTGTTTCACTAGAAGCGAAATGGTGAGAAAAGTACTCAAATATAAACAGACTTTCCATGTGTGCCTTTGGCTCATCTGGGTGGTACATTCTGTTTTTTGGCATGTTCAAATTCTACATTGATACTGCAAGTTAGACTCCAGTGGTTAATAAATATTACTTGCTGGAATTTTAAGAACATTAAATAAGACAATTAAAATGAAATACTTGACAGACTTAATTCATATTAATGCACAGTGCCATGAGGAATATTGCAGTTGTGCAGTGATTTGGAAGTTGAGGTCAAATCCTCCCTCCCTGTGCATGTTTCCAAGCCCCTGGATTTTGTTTTTTCTAGGATATGACATTTCCCCAAACTGTACTGTATTTAGCTTGATGTGTAAGATAGTATTTTGTAGATTAATTGATAGATTTTTACTGAAACTACTCAACAGGAAAACGATAGCAGTGCAAACCTAGGCAGTTTAAAGTTATCCCATGAAAAAGCGGTGTGGATTGACCTCCCCATCCACCATCTCCTTTGCTGTGCCAATGAGCCACAGCGCAAGCTCGAGGAACAGCACCTCATTTATCTGCTAGGGACCTTACAATCCCTCTGGCCTCAATATTGATTTCAACAATTTCACACCATAACAGCTCACCTTTCCCCCTCCTCCTCTTCTGTGACCATTACCATATCATCTGGGTCCCAGACACACCTTTTCTCTCTCTGGTATGCCTATTTTGTTGCAATTCCCCCTCCCCACTTTGGTTTGCATTATTAACACCTCTATTCCCCTGATTTGTTGCAGTCCCCCCCTTTGTTTTGCATCATTAACGCCTCCTTAACCCATCATCCCCTGTCCTCTACCCATTTTCTCCTTTATCTTCCTTGCCCTGCCACCCCCCTCTCTGTTAGCTGTTAAAAGTCTCTCCCTCCCAACATGTCCCAGTTCTAACAAAGGGTCATGGACCCGAAACGTTGACTCATCTTCCTTCCTCCATAGATGCTACCTGACTTGCTGAGTGTTCCCTTCTGTTTTTGCCCTAAAGGTTACGGTAATTGCTTAAGGCAACTTGTGCTGTGTCCTGTTTAAGAGTGTGTTTTCTTTTCAAAAGCTGAGCACATCCTAATCACGAGATACTACAGAAAAAAATAATGTTCTTATTTTTGTGATGAAGTTGCAATGTCTCATGATAGATGTGTGTCATTAGGTTATGTTGACTCCATAATTAAGCGGTACCATTTTTGTCAAATATGGATGAGTTCTCTAAATATCTTTCATCTTTTCGCTTTGCTGGAAAAATGCAGATAAGAAAATCACTTGAAAGGTTCAATTTATGCTTCTTTCTTTCCATAATAATCAGATGTATAACAGTGGTGATATTACAGCATTTCAAGGATGTATTTTTCCATCTCTCTTCATCCACTGTGATTTTGTAGATTTATCTGAGAAGTTTTGTTGGTGGGAGACTCAAATTATTCCTTTTCTTGCTTATCAAATATACACAACGGTGAATACCAATATCCTGAGATGTGTTGTCACAGAAATTATATTGGGAATTAGATGAATATTTTATCTACCAACCCACCATTATATCTGTCTGCCTGGTCCAGGAAATTTAGTCTTTATCTAACTCTTGCAGAAATTTCCTTTCTGTTTATAAATGCAAGTTTCCAGACATCATTTCTCTAGAGATGTTTTCATATCCAATGTCATCAAGAACAAGGTCTGAATACTTTCAAAGAATGTGTTGTAATAAATCAAATAAATACCTAGATAATATAAATAAATAGATAAAATAGATAGATCAAGCATACTTGTCACAGAAATTCACTACATTTTACAAATGCATGACATTTTTGGCAGCAAAAAATTATTTGTTTAAAATATATCTGTTTAAGTGGGTTTCTACTCTGTGTCCTGAATGTCTTGTCTTGAGTCTCTCCCCCCATCCCCTCCATTGATAATTTGCATTCAACAGTTTTACAGATATAGAACGGAAGCTATTAACTGTTTGAATGTCACTAGTTGGCAGTAAAACTATTTCTGACAAAGTTTCTAGTTTTAACAGTATATTTGTGGTTGGTTATTTTACCCCTTTCCTGCGCAGTCCAAATGGGTGGATGGTCTGAGCCGTAATATTCATTACATTTACTTTGTGATTGCCCTGCAGGAGATGCAATTCAAGTGGAGAAAATTTGACAATATCTAAATAGTATATGCTATTATAGTAAATGTCGACTCATTCTCCTCCCCATCCCCGCACAGTAAGGTTTGCAGGCGGGACGGGGGAGGAGGGGAGGAGTTAAAAAATATCTACTGCATTCTGTCCTGTTGAGCAGAAGGCACACATAGAAATGTGTTAGACAGCCCTGAGTATTAAACCTTGGGAGTCAAGAATGTGGTTCTTCAGTTTCAGGACACCTTGTCTTTATAAAAGCCCTCACATCATCAAATATCTTATCCCTCTGGCCTTCCACCCGCGGAGATCCTGAAGCAGCCGTCCAGCTGATCACCTCTCCTCCACCTTCAATTCCCTCGTCCCCCTGATATCCAGGACCATCTCCAAACCCATCCGACCCCCCTGGTACAACAATCATCTCCGCCGCCTAAAAATCCAAACCTGCCTGCTCGAGCGCAGATGGCGGAAAACTGGCCTGACAGTCCCACCACCAACTGTGGCTCGAGCATCTCCATAACTACCGCCATTCCTTGACTTGCACAAAAACAGCCTTCTACTCCAACATCATCTTGGAGGCTAAACACAACCCTAAAATCCTTTTTCCACCACCCACTACCTCCTCCGTGCCACCCCCCCCCCCCCCCCCCCCCTCAGGCCTCCTCAATCTTCACATCAAATGCCAAGTACGAGGAGGTTATGGACTTCTTTTCATCTAAAACAACATCCGCCAGACAGCCTCATTCACCTGCCTCTTGTCACCCACCACCATGCCCTCTCTGTCCCCCTCACCCTCCCCATCATCTGCTCCTACCACCATCCCATCCTACATTCCTTCCTCCCCATCTCTCCCTCCTCCCTCTCACCCACCATCACCTCCATGAAACCCACCACCTGCTGCCTCGACCCCCTCCCCACCAACTTGCTGGTCACACAGCTCCCCCTCCTCTGCCCACTACTGGCTGACGTCATCAACCAGTCCCTCTCCTCCGGATCAGTCCCTGCCCCCCTCAGAACTGCTATCATCACCCCCCTCCTCAAGAAACCTTCCCTAGATCCCTCAAACCCAGCCACTACCGCTCCATTTCTAACCTGCTCTTCCTCGCAAAAGTCCTGGAATACGTTGTTGCCAATCAACTTCGCACACACCTCTCCTCCCACTCCCTCTTCGAACCCCTCCAGTCCAGCTTCCGCCTGCCCACAGTACAGAGACTGCGCTTGTAAAAGTCACAAACGACACCCTCTCTATCTGACCAGGGCTCCCTCTGCCTCCTTGTCCTCCTGGACCTCTCCGCGGAGTTCGACAGTCGATCACGCCATCCGTCATCCACCTCAGTGGGACCACACTCGCCTGGTTCAAGTCCTACCTCACAAAACGCCAGCAGTACATCTGCACAAACGGCTTCTCCTCCTGCTCTCACCCGGTCACCTGCGGGGTACCCCAAGGATCCATCCTTGGCCCCCTCCTCTTTCTGATCTACATGCTCCCTCTTGGGAATGTCATCCACAGACATTGGGGTACACTTCCACATGTATGCAGATGACACCCAACTCTATTTTTCCACCTCTCTTTGCAACCCCTAGTCCCCTGATGTTCTGTCAGTCTGCCGGTCAGATCTCAGGGGCTGGATGAGCGCAAGCTTCCTTCAGCTGAATGTTGACAAGGAGGAAGCCTTGTCCTCCACCTCCGATGCATCGCCCGTCTCTGCCAATACCTCACTCCGAAAGGAGCGTGGAAGGCGCTATATAAATCCAAGTTGTTGTTGTTATGTGTGTGTTCAGTTTTGCTGCATACATTATTCCGTCTTGTAATCCCTTTCGTAAATTGCACTTTTCTTCATTCAGAAGAGCAGACATTTTCACAACAAATGTGTGATCATTCAATTGCAGGTGTGATTGTTATAGCAGAAATTTTCAATGAGTTCTGTCAGTTTATATACAGGTAGACTATGAGGTCTCTACCAGTAGCAGAACATCTCATTCTGAGAGTGGAAAAGCTGACATTGACTAGCTTGCTTCATGAGAGGATTTCTGCTCAGCTGAGCACATAGTGGCATTGGTGTAAAAAGTCTGCATGCAGTTAACTGCATTACATGGCCGTGAGATCAAATGAGGGTTAAACATGATGAAAATATGTATTTTACGCAGAAATAAAATACCAATATTTTTGGCATTCAGAACAAGAAAGCATTTGGGCCCTAATGAGTCCTACCATTCCCACTGCAAATTCGGTGTATAGCTATACAAGACTTTGTTAATGACTTGAACAGAAGCAAGTTAAAAAATATCTACTGCATCCTGCCCAGTCATTGTAACTTGTGTCTTTGCTGA